CTTAGGGCTTGGCTAAAGGAGGCTGGGTGGGCAATAGGCACATCCCTCAAGACCTCAGGGGCCTGAAGAGCCTGGACTCTACCATCAGCTCCGTGTTGCCAGTGTCTAGTGGCTGTCTGCATTCCTTGGCTCACGGCCCTTTCCCCCGGCTGCCTGTGACGTCTGCTTCCCTGGCATCTCCTCTGACAGTCTGGCCCCCCTCTTCTAAGGACACTTGTTGATTACAACTGAGCCCATTTGAATAATCCAGGCTAATCTTTCCATCTCAAGATCCTTGACTTAATCACACCCACAAAATTCCTTTTGCCATGTAAGGTAACACATTCACAGGGTTGGGGGATTTAGGACACAGGCATCTTTGGTGCCATTTTTCGATCTGCCAAAGGAGGGGTAGGGTTGCTTTGCCAGTCCCCAGCTCCGTCCAGAGGGCTGATCCAGGACTGAGGATCAGGCCTCTATTAGTGACAAGGGATCAGGCCGTTATTCTGGCCAAGACTCTGGCTGAGGGCTGGCTGGAGCCCAGAGCTCCAGGAAACCTGGCGCCTGCCCCTGCTGCCGCCAAGGACAGCCTGTACTCCTGGCGCAGCCGCTGCGCACAGATCAGGTGCACTTGAGCCCATTAGCAGCCACGGCTCAACTGGGACAGCTGCCTAGCTCGGCCGGGCCCTCATGGCTTCTTCTCCCTACTGGCCAAAGTATGCAAAAGCTGCTGTCAGATCAGACGTGAGCCGCACAGGAAGTCCCAGCTTCATTCTAGAAAACACATACGTTGCTGGTTTATTAGTGGATATTACTGACCATGGGGCTCCGGAGAGATGAGGGAGGTTTGGGGCAGAATGTCACTGGTGTTGGCTAGGGGCTGGCAGCGAGAATAGAGAGGTCAGGGCAGGCGTTCTGGAGGAGGCAGCATCTGTGTTGCAGCCTGAAGGAGGGGATCATTTGGACTGGCGGGGGGGGGGGGGGGCAAGGCACTCCTGATGAAAGGCACTGCCTGGGTGAAGGGAAGGAGTTGTGTTTAGGGAATGGAGAATTCTGCAGGGAGGGCTGCGGTCCAGGGCAGCAGACTAAAGAATCCAAAAGTGGACAGGGAAGGACATGCTGGCCTGAAAATGTTAAAGCAGTTCTCAAAGCCTGTTAGCAGTGGAACCCGTTGTTCTGAGGGAAGCTTACTCAGAGCACTGATGGGCCTTTGAAAGGGTCTGCAGGGCCTTTCCCACAGTCATCCTCCCCCAGCTCTTCAGACCTGAACTCTGTAGGATACAGCGACCACACTCATGTCATGAGAAGACAGCCAAGGGTTTAGGGCATGGATTGGCAGCAGTTAATGGCCCAGGGTCCAGCTACAGGCAGGTGGTAGAGAAGGGTTTGGGGGGCACATTTCAATAGAGCAGCTAGATGGGCCCCCATGGAGAAGCCCATGGGCAGCTAGGACAAGCATCCAGCTGTGAGGTAAAGCCTCAGTTTCCTCAACTGTCAGCAGAGGGGATGGAGTTGCTTTCAGAGTACATCAGTCAAGGACTCCTACGCCCCCTGCCCATGCTTAGGGCTTGGCTAAAGGAGGCTGGGTGGGCAATAGGCACATCCCTCAAGACCTCAGGGGCCTGAAGAGCCTGGACTCTACCATCAGCTCCGTGACACATGCTAGAGGGGGTAACTCATCTCTTGCTCTGGCCCCAGGAAGGTGGGAAGACAGGGCAGGTGAGCCTGGCTTTCCCCAGGCAGAGCCATTGGCTATTATGGCCTGGACCTCAGAGCATTCAAGCCCTGTGAGGAGGGACAGGAGGGGCCTCACGGTTTTCTGGGAAGGGTTGTCCCCAAAAGTGGCTCCCACTTCAGTGACCCCAGCTGTCCCTACACTGTTACTCTCCTCATGATGTTACCTTAAGGTGCCATATCCACATGTTCGCCAAGACCTTTCCTCAGTGATGGGTCTGAGGCCAGGAGAGTGAGACCATCAGGGAAGCCAACACTGGCTGAGGTGTGGCCCAGGCTGGGGGACAAGGGGTAACAGACTGCTGGCTCAGGGCAGTTGCCCTGAGATGCTGCCAAAGACAGCAAGAGCCAAAGGGCGCGGGCAGGAGGAAAAGGGCACTACCGGTAAGGCCCTACGCAGGCAGAGGTCTGAGAGCACAAGGGGCTCCGAAAGCCAGGAGCCTCACTCTGACTCTGCCCTATAGCACCCTCCCAGGTTCCTTCCAGATAACCATGACAGGGAGTCCCTGCTCCTCCTCAAAGGAGTCCATGCAGCTGGGGCTGGGCAAGGGCAGGATACTGGAGCCCTGGGAGCCACCGTGTGGCCCCTGCTAAGGCACATGTGACCCCCCAGCCACAGTGTGTGTGTGTAGGGGGGGTCAGTCAGGCCAGGTATGACCCCAGCAGTGTAGACCCCCAAAGGTAGGGACCTTATTTCCCATCTCCACTTGGCTAGCTCCCACCACAGGGTGTGAGGCCCCACCTTCTCTTGGGGAGTGCCTGCCAGGAGAGTGAGCATTCCGACGTCAGCTACCCATGCCGCCTGGCTGACTGAGAGTCAAAGGAAGCTGCTACCTTGCGCTGCCCTTGGAACCAGGAGAGAAAAGAGCTGCCTGAGGTGCCAGTGGAGACACAGCCCTGGAACCCAGCAGCCTGGCCCCAGCAGAGGATGCCGCCCACTAGACCACACTGCCTCTGGCCACCGCACCACCAGATCAGGCCCTTGAAAGTGCCAGTGGGTGATATGAGGAACTTGAGAAACAAGACAGAGGATCATAGGGGAAGGGAGGGGAGAATGAAACAAGACGAAACCAGAGAGGGAGACAAACCGTAAGAGACTCTTAATCTTGGGAAACTGAGGGTTGCTGGAGTGGAGGGGGGTGGGAGGGATGGGGTGGCTGGGTGATGGGCATTGGGGAGGGTATGTGCTATGGTGAGCACTGTGAATTGTGTAAGACTGATGACTCACAGACCTGTACCCCTGAAATAAATAATACGTTATATATTAATAATTTTAAAAAGCAAAAAACAAAACAAAACAAAAAAACAAGAAAAAGAAAGTGCCAGTGGGGTGAGCCAGCTTGGTCTGCCATGTTCCTCAGGACCCAACCTGATGCAGGGTCACATCAGCACCTGCCAACTTGGAGGTTTCCTGCCGCTGTGGGCAGGAGGGCTGGGCTTCTAGGCCTCCGGGAGGCCACACATCTGCACAGACCAGAGCGGGGGTGGAGGTCACAACCAGGTGCCCGCTCTTCTGGGCTTCTTGCTCTCCCCAGCCCCAACCAGGGACAGAGGGGTGATCTGAAACTCCAAGATCAATTTGGAAGGAATGTTTTAACCAAAAGCTACGGTAATAAAAAGTAAACATAAACCCTGCTCACTCCTCACTGACACAAGCCTTCTGTTAAATAAACGTGGATGTGTGATACCAGAACAGTGCAGGCCCTCAGCCCACTGCCCTTCAGCAAGCAGGCAGCCATCTCTGAGCTGAAGCTCAGATGACATTTCTGTGCTCAGAGCCCAGGCCCAGTCAGGGAAGTGTGTGGGAGCACACCCAGGGCAGTGGAGGGCTAAGTCAACCCCCAGGAGTGAGCTGCACAGTGCCAAGGCCCCTGGCATCCAAGGCCCAAGAGGGGCACTTATGTGCCTTTTTCCACGCCATGCTCCCACACCCCCATTAGGTGGGAGACTGATGGCCAGCCCTGCTGGGGTAGGAGGAAGCTCCTACCCCCAGCACTGCCTGGGGACAAGGGGTCAGGCGACCCACAAATCACAGTAACAGAACATTAGGTCACTACTTGTTGGTCTCTCGACACTTTATTGGCCCTATCTCCCAACATCCCCAAGGCAATTCCACCCACAGAGACATTGAGCAACCTGCCCTTGGCAACGCTGATGGGATGGAACCAGACCGGGAACCTGGGTCTGCTCAGCTCTGGGCCAAACTATGGATGCCCCTGTTCTGTGCCACCCCAGGAAAAATATCCCCACCCTTGCTTCTACCCCCAAGTATCCTAGAACGTAAAGAAATGTAGAATGGCAGAACCGTGGGAAATGTCATAAGCATCTGGGTTGTGGAAGGTACCACCACCTCCCTCCAAGTGGCTCTCCAGGAAGAACGATCAGCCAGGCACTCTGGCAGGCTGGGGCCCTGGCCAGGCATCCGCGGGGCAGCCACGCTGTCGCCCACACCTCTGGATGTGCAGGAACCGGGGCCTAAGGAGACAGGGACAAGAGGCTGATTCCTGCCTGGTCCCAGGGGATGCGCAGAGTGGGAACGGCGCACTCTCCCTGCAGCCCCACAGCCGGAGCTGCGGACAGCCTGGGTAGAAAGACCGGTGTGGTGGTGGGGGTGGGCAGAGCTCACCTCCCACATAAGTCCCTGCGCACAGCCACGAGATCAAGGGACAGGTTAGGCCGGCTCTGAAGCCAGCTGCCAACAAGCTCTGGGTGTCTTGGGTCCACTTCTAAGAAAATGCTCCTACATAGGGGAGAAATGGGTCAGCTCAACCAGGCAGGGTTGGGACGTGCACTTTTGCGTTGCCTGGACTGGGAGGGGTGGGGTAAGAATGACTGTTAGGGCAGGCCCAGTACACACTGGGACAGACCCAGGAGACCTGCCCTATCCATACCCAGAGTCCTTCAGGAGCCAAGGTGCCAGGGCCAAGATGTGGGTAATGATGTCCATGCCCTCCTCCCCACCATCCAGGGCTAGTGGGTCTTCATAGCTGAGGGGAAACAGAGGAAGGTGAGAGCCTCTGAAAAGTGTGGAAGAGCAGAGAAGGGCCTCCACAAAGGGGTCCCATGGAACTTACACTCTCAGCCTCAGAAAATCTGAGGACCCAGAAGAGAGGGCCCCCAAATGGCAGCTCTGATTCTCTTACCTCCTACAGGTAGCACCCCACCAGGCAGTGCTGGGCTGCTCAGTGAATCCCACTGACTGATAGCAGGGCATGAGGGTCTCCCCACAATAAGGCTGCTCCTATGCTTGGTCTGGGGAGGCCTGGAGCTGGCCCAGAACACTCCTGAAAACCTGGAAAAGGGGAGCCAGCACCCTGACCCACATTACCACTGCCTGTCCAAGGACTTCTGGGCTACTCCTGGTTCTCAGACCGTTTGAGAACAGGACGGTTCAGTGCAAAGCCTGGAGTAGGGTCTTAGTCCCAGCTTTCCTGCTAAGCCCCCACATGACCTTGGACCAGGCATCTTTCCTCTCCGGGCCTCAATCTTCTGTAAAATGATGTACCCATCTGAGCACCTTCTATGTATTCTAGACCACATCTGATATACATGAGTCATTGCTAGGTCCTCCCCATGGCCCTGCAAAGGTCTACCACTCCCCTTTCAAAGGTCAGAAATGAGGCTCAGAGAGGCTCTGTGATTATCCAGTGGTCTTCAGTGGGAAGGCAGAAGCTGTACCAAGTAGGTCTGTGGGCTCCAGAATGAGCCTTTTTTTCAACATCGCTGCCCCTTTCAGTCCCTTCCCCCTGCCTGTACCTGCTATGGTGTAGTCCCCCAGGGCAGACACATCCTACTAGGCCCTCTCAGGCCCAGCCTCCCTCCCACCACACCCTGCACCTGCGGATCTCAGGGGCCAGCTGCTCCATGTCTTGGTGGAAGATGTAGGGAGGGTTGCTGACGACCAGGTCCATGGGGCCCCAGGGCAGGAGGTGCGCCCAGCTCCCCTCTACAGTCAAAGGGAACACAACGCAGAGAATGGATGGTAACTCTACCTGCCACCATGTCCCTTGGGTAGTCCCTCTCCCCAAGCCACACCCTGGGCCTATCTCTGGACCTGATAACCCAGGCTTGCAGATTAGTGCCCAGGGTCCCCAGCCAGCAGACTGGTCAGGAGCGTGTATACTCTGACATGGCAGCTCTTCCTCTAGAATATCCTTGCCCTCTCTTCTTCCTGTCAAAATCCTCCTCAATAGGGCGCCTGGGTGGCTCAGTCGTTAAGCGACTGCCCTCGGCTCAAGTCATGATCCTGGAGTCCCGGGATCGAGTCCCACATCCGGGTCCCTGCTCGGCGAGGAACCTGCTTCTCCCTCTGACCCTCCCCCTCTCATGTACTCTCTCTCTCTCTCATTCTCACTCTCTCAAAATAAATAAATAAATCTTTAAAAAAAAAAAAAAAAAAAACCTCCTCAATAAGCAAAACTCAGTTCAAGTGCCACCTTCAGGAAGCCCTCTCTGATTGCTTGGGCAAAGCAAGAGCCTCTGTCCTCTGCAGCCCCACTGGCCCTGCCATACACTGCCTCCTAGCCAATATGGACTGAGTGTATGGAGGGCGTGCCTGGTTTCAGTCAGTCAATTCCTGGCAACTCTGTTTCCTGGTTCTGTCCAGATGCCGTGTGCTACACCAGGTGTACCACAGTCTAGGGATGGCATGTATGAGGCTCAAAGATCCTGTGGATATGTAATGCAGCCAGAACCAGAGCCAGAACCCAAGGACACTCTGCAAAGGTGTGGCTGAGCTGTACTGTGTCCGGGTCAGACACAGGGGCAGGGCAGGCAGGAGCTAAAGTATTAAAGTATTTCGGTCCTAAAGGCTTTCTCTTGAGCTTCTGCTTATCTCTCAACAACAAGCAAGGCCTAGTTAAAAACTCATTAGTTATGGGGGGGGTTCAGAAAGTAAGAAAGACCCTGTGGCCGGTCCCTGCACGGGTCAGGTCAGCCCACAAGGCAACAGGGACTTGCCTGTCCTCAGCAGGGATTGGTCTGAGATCCCCCGTATGCGTACGTGTGTGTGTGTACACGCGCGCACGGGCACGTATAAATGAACGGTGGGGAAGCCCTCCTTCCATTTCTGCAGAGTGCCCATCCACCAAGCAGCACCAGTGCCCAGGATCCATCCCCCAGGGAAGGCCAGTAGGGAAGATACCTAAGGTCACATCGAGGGGGACAATCCGAATTCTGTCCAGCAACCGAAGCCTGGAGAGATGGGAAGTGAGGTGAGCACAGGGGAGACTCCTACCCATGGCTACCAGGACTACGGGAATAAACCCTTCTTGGACTGACAGGTCTCTGGTGCCCACCGTCCTTCATAACCCTGTGGGATCCATGCCAGGCCGCCCCACCCCACCTCCCCTTTCTTAGGAGCAGAAAGCAGACATCAGTGAGTAAGGTATCTAGGGACTGAGCAGAGGCCCCAAAGCTGGACTTCCCCAATCCTGGCCCTTTTTACCCCTGTCCACCTACCTTTGAGCATTCTCCTGGGTCAGGCAGATGGCAGCTTCTCCTTTATCCACGGCAATGACTCGGCTCTGCCCCAAGAACAAACGAAGGGTACATAGGAGGCAGGGTGCCCAGAGAAGCCAGGCCTGGATACCAGAGCTCCCCTCCATCCCCCTACCAGAGAGGAGGGAAATACCCAACAGCTGTCCCCTCTTTGTAGCCGGGGTCTGGCCAGACAAAAGGGGATGGGGGCTGTGACCATGACGGGCTGGGGGCAGCCCTGTCCTCCCACATCTGGCCACCTCCCATCAAGGGCTTCTAGCAGAGATGGGTGGGGGAGGATCAGTGGGAGGGACAGTGAGTGGCAGTCCCAGTCTACACAGGGTGGGGCACAGGGAGGCAGAGGGGGCTCACCTGGGGAAGCTGACTCAGCAGGCTGAGGGCGATGGCTCCCGATCCGCAGCCCACCTCCAGGATGAGGGGGCCACCTTGGGCTCCCACTGTACAGGGACTCTGGGCCACCTCCTCCAGCACCCATTCAACCAGCTCCTGTGAGGCAGAGGGGTCCGAATCAGAGTCAGTGCCAACCTGGCCCCCCTGGGGGTCTTGGTACAGAGGCCCAAGCATGGTTAGGCCCTGTGTGAAGGTAGAAGGGTGGCTAAAGCCAGACTGATATTCATGTCAGGCCGTGGGCAGGTCACTCTGCCTCTCCATGCCTCAGATTCCCCATCTGTAAAACTGAGCAACTGAGGATAACCAAACTCATCGGGTGGCAGGGGGATTAAACAGAACCACACTCATGAAACATGGATCCCATTCCCAGTATATGGTTAAGTGTTCAATAAACCCCAGTGAGGCCCTTTACAGACAGCCTCCCATCTTGTGCTCATAGCAATGCTAAGAACCATACCTGATGGTCCCTGGCCACTTCCTCTGTGACTGGCCCTGCTTCCAGAGCTTTCCCTCCATTAATCTATTGGATCCTCACAACCAGCCATTGAGGAAGCCAAGTCCCCTCCTGGAGCCCAACTTACAGCTCACAATTGCTAATTACCAGGAGCCGGATTGTCCCCAGCTTCTTCACAGAGCTGGACTTAGGACACTCCCAGGGAGGTTTCTAGACCAAAAGGACAGGGAATTCCCTGGGGGTGGGGCACAGTAGGGAGAAGACAGTCCTGCCTGAGCCCCATATCCAAAGGGACTATGGTATACACAGGGCACAGGTTAAGTGGGCATGATGTGACAGGAGATGCCTGACTGCACCACACCTGTCTCGGGGGCCGGGGGACACTTCTAGACAGTGTCACTTTGGAAACAACAGGCTTTCAAGTCTTGTCCACCATCTGCCACCTGCAGAGACTGTGCATGGAAGCCAACAGAGGATAGAGGTGAGGGTGGAGGGCTGCTGCCGCCCAGAAGCCAACTGTTTCTTTTTTTTTTTTTTTTAAGATTTTATTTATTTGAGAGAGAGAGAGAATGAGAGATAGAAAGCACGAGAGGGAAGAGGGTCAGAGGGAGAAGCAGACTCCCTGTTGAGCAGGAAGCCCGATGTGGGACTCGATCCCGGAACTCCAGGATCATGACCTGAGCCGAAGGCAGTTGCTTAACCAACTGAGCCACCCAGGCGCCCCGCCAACTGTTTCTAATGAGCAGTGGAGTGAGGGCCCAAGTAGCCAGGCATGGAGCTGGGGAAGGGCAGTGTGCTTCGTTCTCAAAGGCAACCAGCCCTTAGGAGAGGTCGCTCTACTTGAGACTCCGGGATCCCAGGCAGGGCTGGCTCAGGGAATGGGCAGAGGGATCAGCAAGTGGGTGCTTCCCTCATCTATAAAGAGGTCTGCCTCCTCCGGAAAGGCTTCCTCACTCCCTGCCAGGCTCTCTCTCATGGATTTCCTCACCATTGAGTCTCAAGTCTAGGATGCGGTTTGCCTCTCCCACCAGACTGAAGGCTCCATGATGGGAAGACCAGGGATCCAACCCATCACAGTGTGTCCCAGAGGCAAGGTCTGGCCCTCAGGGGGCCTCTTGGCTACTTCCCAAGGGCTTGGCAAGCTCTCAGTGGTTGTGGGAAGCCACCCTGAGTCTCAGACCCCCCGCCAGGTCCCCCCATATCTCCAACGTCAACAGTCAGGCTCAGTGGCTCCAGATTGCTCAGACCCATTTTTCACTTAAGCTCCTCAGTGCTGAGTCCCAAAAGGCATTTCATCCTTCCAGGCCCCCCAACCCCCAGAGCAGAGAGCTCCCCCGTCCCCAGGGTAGCAAGTCCAAGGCAGGTAGGACTTGGCCAGTGGGTCCGACCCTTTCTATTCCCCCCACCTGCTCCCACCAGGCCTGTACCAGGCACTACTGGAGAATTTAAGGGTGCTTGCAGCAATCTGGGCCCTCAGTGTTGGGACTGACGTAGTGCAAGCAGCCTAGGGCTGTGGTGGAGACCGTGGTCTCAGTGCTGAGGCCACGTATGAGCGGCTGGTAGGAGAGCTGAGACTTGTCAGGGGTGTGAGCATCTCCTGGTTTCCTGGCCACAGACAGACTTACTCTGGTTGGAGAATGACCCCTTGGCCAGCCTCCTCACAAAGACACCCTTGACCTGAGAGACACATACCACATATATGAACAGCCACCCCGGGCAGCATTTGAAGCTGAGAGACTGGCCGCTCACTGCCACCAGTGCCCTCTGTTACACTCCAGAGGATCATCTTGGCTATGGGACCACCTGGGGTCTAAGGGTAGAGACCACCCACAAAAGTCCAAAAACTCTCCTCTTCACCAAGCGAAGAGCCTCCAGCCTCCATCAGTCTGAAATTGGTGGCTCTTTAGGGAAGGCTGACGGCGCCTGGGTGGCTCAGTCGTTAAGCGTCTGCCTTCGGCTCAGGTCATGATCCCAGGGTCCTGGGATCGAGTCCCGCATCGGGCTCCCTGCTCGGCGGGGAGTCTGCTTCTCCCTCTGACCCTCTTCCCTCTTGTGCTCTCTATCTCTCATTCTCTCTCTCTCTCAAATAAATAGTAAAATCTTTAAAACAAAACAATGTTTAGGGAAGGCTGAAAGCCAAGTGGTCACAGACCCAGGGCACCTCCTCCAGGTGAATAAGGGAAGAATCCAAAACCATGATGGGATAGGGATAGGATGGAATGTGGGGAACAGGGAGCTTTGGGCTCTGCTGGAGCCACTGTCTCAGCAGGACCCTATACCCCCTCAAAAGGTCGGCCCAGGCCTCAGCAGGCCCTGAGTGCTGTGAGCACCCTCCATTAGGATGCTCTGGGTGGGCAGCCCGAGGAGGGTGGCATTGCCTCCCTCAAGCCAATCACAGACAAGGCATTGAGCCTCCTACACCCCACAGAGCCTCACCTCGCCAGGCTGGATAGGAATGGTTCACACTCCCAGCCTTGGGTTTCCCACTGTACACACTGCCAGGCTGAGGACTGAGCCACCTTCCCGCCCACAGGGAAAGCCCAACTCATCGGGCCACATGCCACCTACAGCTTCGCATTTCTGACTTCTGCCCCCGTCATCAGAAACTGCCCTTCGGGGGATGGAAAGAACACAGGCACCATGATCTCTTCCCTGCCCCCATTCTCCCTACTCCCTGCCACAGGCCACGTCCTCTCAAGTTCTTGGTAAAGCACCCCCCAGTGCGGCTTCACATTGGGGCAAACCTGGCAAGTTCTCAGAAATGTCTGTACAGTGAGGTGAGGACCTGGCCTCCCAACCACAGCCTCCCCCTCCATCTTCCCTCCCCTCCCCCTTGCAGCAGAGCTGCTCTCCTGGCCCAGACCCACACAAGAATGGCGGGGGAGGCCCCACATGGGAGCCAGAAGTCCACATCCGACGTTCAGAACCCTGGAGCGCATGGCTGGTGCCGGGTCAGCTCTGAGGGGATTCAAAGGTCATCATGGTTGCTTCCCTCCCATGCCCTGACCCTTGGCAGCCTCAGGAGACAGTGAGTGACCTCCCAGCCAGAGGTCACAGGCTGGGGGAAGACACAGAGTAGCCTCCCAAGAGGCTACAGGTGGCAGGCCACATCCTGCTCTGGATCTCTGCACCCCATCCCAGCTCGTCCAATCCCAGATGGGGTAGCCCCATGGGAGGTTTGGGGCCCTGACCCAGAGTCAGGAAGTCCGAACGCTGCCCCCATTCTCCTCCCCTTGGCAGCCCTGTGACTTCAGGAAGTTCTCAGATTCCCTACTGTCCCTCCCAACACTGGGCTGTAAGGCAAGGACCTGGCTTCTCAACCACATGATGTGGAAGTGCATGTGGTCAGAGGATTTCTAGGCTGGGCGAAGAGAGGCTAGGAAAGTGAGGAGGGGCTCTGGGTCCCTTTTTGGGCAGGTGAATGAAGGCTGATCTTTCCCAGGAATGGTTGTATGCCTGGGTACCTTTCGAGAAACACCCCTCCTCAGAACCTGGTGCCCTCTAGCTTGCCCATCAGACCACACACGGCTCCATTCACCTGCTCTGCTGTCACTCCTTATAAGGTCGGGGGAAGCCCAAGAAGGGCCACAGAAAGCATCTCTCCCAGAATAAGGGTGCCTCACCCAGGGACAGCATGCTGGGGCCACACAATCCCTAGTCCTAGTAATTTGAGGGACAGGAGGGGATTACCTGACCAGACAGTAGATCTAGGAGGACTGCCAAGTCACAGATTCCTTCCACAGCCTCCCTAGTCCGAAGGCCCAACCCTCTTATCATCTGGGTCCAGAGAGGACAGTGACTTACCTGAGGTCACATAGCTGTACCAGGCCTCAGGGTGTCCAGCTGGAACCCTATCCACTTCACCCATGCCTCCTGAGGAGGAGGAGGGCATTTTCCCACCATGGATTGGGTAGGCCAGGCCTGCGTACTGGGGCAGTGGCCTGAGATGTGAGGACAGTCAAGGAGGCCAGCAGGAGACCCCTGCACTCTTGGCCCCACCTACCCAGCCAACCAGGAGACACCAGTATGGAAGAGCAAGGCCTCTGAGAACCACAATCATGGGGTCCCAGCACCCCCTGGAGGAAGTCCGGGGCAAGACAGGTGCCCTAAACACCACCCTCAACTCCATCCTGCCCTGTCCTAGTGGCACACCTACCTCTGTTTCCGGGCGAGGGATGAACACTGGGGGGGCCATCTTCAGACTGAGTCCTTGAAAGTCCCACTCCCCGAGGATGTACTGCAAAGGCATCCTGCAGAGGGGGCAGCTGGGTGATCAGTGCCAGAGACTGGACCAACAGGACCATGACTGGGTTGAGAGATACCACTTGTGGGATACCAAAAATGTCAGGTAGGGTCATGCCTCCTGTGCCCCAGGACTCTGCGCCAAGCCAAGGCCTTCCCTCCCTCCCTTCTTCCTTTCTACTCGCATGATCCCCCTCTCATCAATACTTCATATCAATACCTCCCCAGTCGTTGGATACTTTCCTCCTTCCTGACAATGAATTAGTCGGGCTGGGGGAAACCAGACACCTGTTCCCCACACAGAGCCCTCAGGTCTGGCCCATGGGTGCTCACCTTTGCAATCGGCGGCTACTCAGCTCCTGGATGCACTGTAGCTGCCAAGAGGTCAGGGGCTGGGTCCAAAGTACTGGTCTCAGGCTCTGAAACTGCCCCACAGAGAATGTGAGCAGCTGGCTCCCCAATCTAGGGGCCTGACCCAGGTTTATGTGGACAATGCCTGTGGGCCCAACATTGGCCACCTTGGTCATCCCTGGACCCCTACTGTCTGACACACACTGTAATAGTTCATTGGATGAATGAATAAGTATCTACCTAAGACATTCCTTCAGAAAATTCCCATCACTCTCAGCACTCTCAGTGGGGCAGAAAAGCCCAGATGTTCTTCCCCAGGGTCCTCCCTCCCCCCTCTTCTGCCCTCTTGACAACTCTGCACTTAACTGTTTTGGCTCCAAGGACATGAGCCACGATGTACTCACTGGATGCCTGGGCCTCAGGGATGCCCCTCTTCTCAAAGACTGCAGTCCAGTGGCTGACCACCTCTGTGGCATTCAATGACCCAGCCAGAGGCAGATGGGGTTGCCATGAGCTGAAGGCCCAGCCCCTGGTGCCTCCTCTCCTCCCAGGGCCAGACAGGAGGGCCCAGAGCATTCGGCCCCCAAGCTCCATGTCTCCAGGAAAGACTCTCCTGAGCGCTCCCAGGTCCCTAAGTCTTCCTTGTGATATCAGCTGCTGAAGATGATCACTGGCTCCAACCAGGTGGAGATGGTCACAGGCTCTGACTCCTCAAGGTGACTTTGGTCCAGATGTGACTGCCACCCTGGGAGAGGAAGAAGAACCAGAAGAACAGCTGAGCCTAATGTGACCCACTCCCCTCTGACCTGCTGCCTGAGAGAGGGCATGCTCTTGCTCTGCTACCTTCTTAACTCCATTAGATCTTCACCCACCTATTTGATTCTTCTTGTCTTGACCAGTTATGTTTTCTTCACGTTTTTAGCTGAAGTGGGCTGAAGCCAGAGCTCAGTCCCTGGCGATGCATCCAGACCCAGGCTTGAGGGTTGAACAGATCTGTTCCACCTAGTGTGTGTGACCTTGAAAAAATCATCATTTCTAAGTTCCAGTGTCCTCCTCCATGAAATGGGGAAAATAACACCAACTCCATTGCAAGCAGTACGTTAGACAATGAATACCAAGGGCCTGAGAGCCGGCTCAACACACAGAAGGAACTCAGTGTTACATGCTCTTAACTAATATACAAGACAGAGGAGGCTGCCTTTGCTTGGGGGGCCTTGCTTTTGACATTTTGCTTGTATTGTGACTGATATGTATGCTAAAACTCTCCGTCCCCACCCCCACTTGACCCATAATCCTAAACATCAGCATAAATTCCCACGTTAAAAAAAAATTGACAATTTTTGTTAACTTTATATTTAAGATGTCACAAACAAGGTTTACCAGAAGGTTTAAAATCAGTGGCTCCCTTTCCCTTCGCACGGACCAAGGTCCAAACTAGCATGTACTGAGCACCTGCTAGGTGTCACATCTTCAAAAACAAGCTGGGAGGGAAAGGAGGCTCCAAGTGAGAAAGCGACTTGCCTAAGATCACCTAGCTAGAACTGCCCCAGGCAGGACACAACCCCAGGTCCTCCGGACTCCAGAGGCGGCTCTGATCACTTGAGCGTTGCCCCAGGAGGAGCCGAGGCCCGAAGTCAGGGACGCCGCTTCCCTGTCAGCTCTGCAAGGCATCGTTAATGACCCAGGCGAGGTCGTCTCTCCCCGAGCCTGTTTCCTCATCTACATAACGCGGGGTGGGGGGGTCTCAAGGGTACTGCAGTCCAGGGGCCCCCGTCCCGGTTCCCATTTCTAAGGCATACCTGCCTGAAGAGTTACCCCGCCCGCCCTCCTGGCGGCAGAAACTGCCGGGGCTCGGCTCCCGGATGCGCATGACCCGCGGTGCCCTCCCTCGGACGCCCTGCTTCCGGGGTCGGTGCGTCTGAGAAAGGGCTCGGGCGGATCCAGCAACCCCCCAGCTCCAGGGTTCCTAGAGCTCCTGGGTTCCAGCGGATTGCTGGGTAGGCTATGAAAGCCACGCGGGTTACGCCTGCAGCCCCACGGGTGGGAGAGTGCATGGATGTGTGGGAGGTTGCTCCCTGGGGGCCAGGGTCCTCGATTCTTCCAGAAGGTCACGGAAGGGACATGGCTCCAGCCCGCGAGGACTACGCGGACCTGGCTTTTGGGTACCCGGCCGCGGCGGCGTGTTGTCAGTCCGAGAGGGGGCGTGTCGCCAGCCAGCTCCGGGTTTGAGAATTGGGGCGCGAGATCCAGGGGCGTGGTCGAGCGTAACCTCAGGGCCGGCCAAGCAGCACGTGGACGGATTCCAGGGTTGGGGGCGGGTAGCAATTTGAGGGTGGGATCCGGTGTCCAGGACTTGGCCGAGGAAGTGGCCACTGGAACCCGGGGCCGCTCTTGACCCTTTTGCTCCCGGGTTTTAGGGTTTGGAGCAGGGGACTCGAAACTGGACACAGGAGACTTGTGTTCGAATCCTGAGTGTTGCCAGCTCACTCTGTGGGCCTCAATTTCTCCTTCTACAAAATTCATGGCAATGTCCCACAAAGTGTGGCCTGCCGACGCCCTCCCCCACCAGACTCTACTGTTTCCCCGGACTCGGTCCCAGACCGGGGGGCGGGGGGAGAGCCTCGGGGATCTGCATTTGTAACAAAAGCTTCTCGGGGTGATCTCCGTAAGTTCCTTTGAGAATCCAAGGATTACAAGGTATCTGAAGGCCCCTCCCCTGAGACGATCGCGCCGTAGGTGGAGGCTATTGTGAGGGGTATATGTGGCCTTGCCTGTGTCAGACTGCCCAATAATAATACCTCTCCAATAATAATAACAACAGCTCCCAACTTCTCTGGACTGAGCTACCCCATTTCTAACCCAGGTTGGGTGTAGTTCACCAAGAACCCTCTCAGTAGAGCCCATCTGAGCAGGAAGCCGAGCTCCAGGGAGGGGAAACATCTCGCTCTAGGTCACAAAGCAGTAAAGGGGCGAGCCAGAGTTAACGCAGGTCCAAGGACTCCCAGTCCAGGGCTCTCCCGGAGCCTCCACCGTCCGCCTCCGTTTTGGGAGCACGAATCTGTCTCGGCGGAGGTGGAGCTCCGCCCGAGTTCTGGTGCAGGAAGGGCTTGGCCACCCACGACCCTGTACCCGACTTCGGCGTAGACCACGGGTAACAGTTAGGGGTGGTCTCCACGAACCGAGACCCTGTGTCCGGCTCCTGCTGGGGGCGGAGCCAGATCCAGCGACAGGCGAGCGGGCCAGTGCCGGGCAGGCTGTGGGCCTGACAGCCAATCGGGAGCCGGGGGCGCGGAGCCGGCAGGGAGGCGAGGCGCTGGAGCGTGGGGGACCCGCGGGGCTACTCGCCTCGGCCCCACCCCCGCGGTGGGTCCAGGCCCTGCCTGTCCCAGCCCCGGCTGGCGGAGCCGGCTCTCGCGGCTGCGGGCGGTGCGCTGTAGCGGGCCCAGCCCGCGGCTCCGGGCGCACTGGGAGGGCGGACCTGGGCTCGGACCCGCTGCCCCCCGCCCTGGCCTTCTGCCGATCGCCACCACCCCGAGCCTCTCCGGCTGAGCTCGGCGCCCCAGAGAGGATTAAGTAAGTGCTGAGGTCGCAGCTTCTGTGCAAGAATGGAGGAATCACCGAGTCGCAGAGGCGGGGATGGGGATTGGAGCAGGGAGGACTGAGGAACCTGGTAGAGAATGGTATGCGGGTTCTCGGAGGTCGCGGTGCCAACCCATCTCAGCCGTTTCCTTCTCTTGCCCTTTGGACCCTCAGGCAGTACCAGACAGTGATGAGCAGGGCCTTTTCTCTGCTTTGGACCGAGGAGTAAACAGCCCAAAGCAAGAGTTAAGGGTCTGGCCCAAGGTCATGTCTGGGGTCAGAGGCAGAGCCAAGAAAGAACCTGGAATTGCTGACGCGTTCAGCCTAGCTGGAGAGAGAGAGGACAGAGAGGGATGAGCACCCATATCCCTCTGCCAACCTTGCCCCTTCCTAAGGAGCCATCATAAGTGTGTGTACACACCTCACACACACCCATGCACCTGCACAGGAAGGCACCCCACATACACCCATGAGCTAGCACAGGGATGTATGTGTGCAGCCATGAGCTGTGTACCCCCCTCTCCCTAGGCCCACCCTTCTGCAGCGTGGCTGGGACCCCTTCCCACCTTGCCCTACCCAGAGCCTCTGGCCTGGGAGGAGGTAAGACACACCCTGGTCTCCCCACGTCTCTTACTCTCTGACACAGGCAAGAGAGGAGGGGGGGAGAGGAGAAGCACCTCAGAGTGGGAGCTCCGTGCTCCCTGCTCACCTCGTTTTTCCTTGTCCCTGGCAGCCCCTAGCTCCCCTATGGGGGTCCAGTGACCCTAAGAGCCTGCAGAGAAGCCCTGCCAGGGGACCTGACTTTAGGCTCTCTCCCCTTCCCGTCTTCTGGTCTCTCTGCACCTTTCATCCACCTCCCGGCCCCCATCCCCTGCAAACACAGCCTGGATCACACAGCGGGCTAGGTCAAGGGGCTCCTGTAGCTCCCCCTTTCCCAAGTGTGTTGGCCAACGGGGGAAAAGTCGATACGCTGGGTGCTTACTGTGGGTAGGGGTTACGCTTAGCTAAGTCTTTTCTAGGGACCAGTTCATTCTGACATTTCAATGACCTTATAACCCTGTGAGGCTGTGAGGGAGGTGGGGTATTGTTTGTTTGTCTGTTTGTTTGTTTGTTTGTTTGTTTGTTTGTTTTTAATCTTGATCTTAGACTCAGAGGAACTGAGAACCAGAGAGGTGGAGTGACATGCCTAGGGTCATCTGACTCTTGGGCAAGTGTGTCCCTCCAGGAAAGGAAAACGCTGCGGTGTTTTTTTGTCCCCAGGCAGGAGGGGAGGGATGTGGGGAGCAGGGAGTGAGGGGGTGGGAAATGTGGGGAGTAGGGGGGCGGAAGGGTGGGTATTATGTAGGGGAGAGACTTTTTCTTTCTAACCTCCCGACTACCTTTCATATCTTCCAAGTATGATCACTATGTTATCATACCCTCAAAGAAGGGGCATTTTCACCTTCCTAAATCTACACGGGAACTGTACTTAAGTAAAGCACATGTCCTAATGTCCCCTGAACTTGCCCTTGCCCTCAAACTTTTATTTCCCCAGTACCTTCAGAACTTAGGGGTACTTGATCTCACCACTGAGTCCTGTCCTAAGCCTCATGTTTTTCCTTCTTTCTCTTCCAGCACCCAGGGGACCGGAGAGCTCCCTTTCTCCTGGGAGGTGGCAACCTGGAAGTATAGCAGGGGCCACAGGCTGGGATACTACCCATGTCAGGAGCGAGTTGGCAGGTTGACTGACCACAGGCAGTCTCTCAGCCAGGGCCCTCTCAGCATCAGCATGGACTCCAGGATCCTGCCTGCCAGGGGCTGGCTCAGCAGCCGCCCACCCACCTCTGAGCCTGACCTGGAGCCTGCCACAGAGGGGCCAGCCTCTGAGACCACCACCCTCAGCACAGAAGCCACCAGCTTTAATGACACCAGAATCCCTGATGTGGCTGGTGGTACAGCTGGTGTGGGCACAATGCTTCTGTCCTTTGGGATCATCACGGTGATTGGCCTGGCTGTGGCCATGGTAAGAGCTGGTAGGCTGGGGCTGACCCAGGTGGCTGTCGGTTGGAGGGGTGGGGGGACACTCTCATCAGAAGACAATTGTCTGTTAAGGATAGCACAGTCTTCCCCTTCTCCAGGGATGTGTCCACTGGAGACCAGAGGGGCTGCCTCCAACCGGAAGAACCAGAGGGGGTTCTGAGGCTACATGGCATCTTGAACTGGGCCATGAGGGCCACGGAGGAGTTGGGGTGGAGGGCGTTCCAGGTGGAGGGTCCTGACGGGCGAAAGTTTGGAAGCAGACAGGAGTTTCTGGGCACAGCAGGCAGGACAGTGGGGCAAGTGCGAGGAGGGATGAGTAAGAGGAGAGGCTAGAGGGCGATCGGAACAGATCACAGGCCACAGTGCGGGCGGGCTGCTCCGGGCATGGCAGGCTGCTGGCAGCCTTCATTCACTTGCCAGGTATTTCCCAAGCCCCTGCCCTGGACTGAACCTTCAGGTCCCCAGGGACTAAGGAGACTGAGGCCTGCCCGGCGGTTCTTATGGGGAACAGGAGATCGATAAAGCCAATGATGCCAAGGGAAGCCCGGAGGGACTGAGTTGGGGAATTGGGCAGGAAGACTTTCTAGGCTAGGTGGTCAGGGACAAACTGAGGAGGCAACGTTAGAGCTGAGACCTGGCCCCAGGTGGAGGCCTGGCCCCAGTACCACAAGAAGGGGCAGACTTGGGCAGACCTCTGAACGGAGGTGAGCTGGGGTGAAGACTGAAGGTGTCCCCTGATAGGGGATATGATGTTTCCAGATCTGGTGTCTGTCCCTGCAGATATGGGCCCTCCCCCTAATCTGCTACACGACACTCAAAATGTCACTGAGGGACTGCTGGAGATGGTGCTGGCTCAGACAAGGAAGGGGGGAGGTGCACCTGAGGTCCCCCAGGGGGCCTGACAATGGTGGCATCCTGGCCACCGCCCCTCACAGGCTCTGATGGCCAGCCTTAGGTTCAGGACCACATTGTTCTGGCAAATAGGGCTGTGGATGGTCCATCCATGACCTGGCTGGAGCTGCTGTCCAGCCAAGGTTGCCATATGGACTCTGTAGGCTCCGGATCGCCGTCAGCGAACAAGTGCTGGCCAGCAAGCAGGGCCAGGATGCACCACACAGAGCGAGCAGCCTCCTGGGGCGGGGGCGAGGCGGAGCGCCAGGGTTTCCCCATGCCACCCATGTGGCAGTGAAGCAAACCCAAACAGCCTCACCTCAGGGAAAAAGTGGCGTCTGGAATCTGCCCTTGCAACTCCAGGCCAGAGATTATGTCCCAGGAACTTGGGAGAACTCCATGATGCTTCATTCTGGAGGAACGTTCAGAGGGCCAGGATAGAGGGCCTTCTTGCCCAAACCAGAGAGGTAGGAGCATTATGGGATGAAGGCAGTGGAGGGCGAGAAACAGCTCCTGGGCATTCGGGGACAGGTCCAGAGATGCTCCCTGAGGGCTCCCCATCATGCCAGGCCGTCGTGCCAGGCCACAACAGGGCCATGCTGGGTACCCGGAGGAGCAAATCGGTGCCAGGCTGTGTGCCTCACGGAGACCGAGTTGTATGGGTGGGCTTCCTGGAGGAGTTAGGACTGCAGCTGGATGGTGAGCCGGAGGGAAGATTTGGAAAGGAAGGTATGTGGGAAGGTGCTGTCGGTAGCTGGGGCGGAGAGAACAGCAGGGGCAAGACTGGAGGTTGGATCAAGGCTCTGGCCTCTTGTGAAGATCCCTCTCTAGGACAGGGCCACGGGGCAGGGAGTAGAGGGAGACAGCGTGCTGGGGCTGGAGCTGCTGCTGGTTCAGGGCAGGTAGGGGCTGGGTCTGAGACCTGGAGCTCCTCCAGCGGCCTGCCCACAGCAGAGCAAGGGTATCATCCGCGTGTGACCTCCTGGAGGGGATGGAGAACAAGGGACACCTCAGTTTCTTCTCAGGCCTTTGGGGTTTCCCAAGAAACAAGCAGCAGGAGGAACTCTGGGCCAGGCTGGAAAGCAAACCAGATTCAAGCTGCGAGCGAGGCACAAAGGGTGTGAGAGAGCCACAGAGAGTTAGGGACAGAGTCTAGGGACAGGGCTGTCCCCCAGGCAGAAGTGGTCATGCTCCTGGTGGCCAGAAACTACCAGCTTAGGCACCAGCCAGATGGTGGCAGGGGTCCCTGGAGTCCCTGCCCTAGTGGTCAGCCCCTTCTTCCCCCATCTCTCAGTGCTTTGTACAGGGATGTCCTGCTCCAGCCCAGAGCACTTGGGTCTTGTATGTTTCCTCAGGCTGCCTAGGCCTTTATCTTCAAGTCTGTACAATGGAGGTTAGGACCCAGGGGCCTTCCTACCTTCCTCCAGCATCTGGGTTCTGCCATTTAGTCTGGGCTGCTGTCCAGGGACTCGGGCTCTCCTCCCCAGCCCCTGTCCGCTGAAGGCTATCAGCCTCCCATGGAAACCCCAGAAGCCCAGCCCAGGGTCTTGCCTCGAGCGCTGCCCTGCAGAGTCTGGCCACTACCTGTCCCCTGTTCTTTTTTCCCATACATGGCTCCAAGCCTGGGGGGTGTTGAGAGGAAGGGGGGTGCTGAAATCTTCCCCTCCCCCTTGAAGAGTCCAGGGCAGGTGTTGAGTGGCTGGAGCTGCAGTCTGTATTGGCAGAGAGAACGCAGGCCTGCTCCCCGCTTCATAGCCCAGGCACCGTCAGCATCGGGTACACATCAAAAGGAAGCACAAATGCAGGATGTGTGTGTCCCTGGGAGGGAATCCCAGAGGTCTTGGGGACCCACAGTTCTCCTGTTCATCGGCCTCAGCTTGTCCCTTGTCCCAAGGAACTGCTGGTTAATCAGGGACTCCTTGCCCAGCCATCTGACACTGCTCCTTCTCTTGCAGGTTTTGTACATCAGGAAGAAGAAAAGGTAACTCCCCAGTTGCCACCCAAAACTGCAGCCTGTTGACAGTGTTGGGCTGGACTCCAGGGGCCGTGGGTGGGAAAAGAGAGTCCCACAACCGTCGGGGCCCCTCTCCGTTGTCAGAGAGCCGGTTCCTCTTCTGCCCACTGAAGGCTGGGGTGGACGGCTTGCCCTCGGGGAGTGCTGAGCCGCTTTTGCTCCACTGCCCCGAGCTCCAGGTCACTGACTCCCCGCCCCTGCCCGGCCCCCAGAGGCTGTGGATCACACAAGGGCCTGGCCTAGGCAGTCCCCATGGATCCCACAGATGATGCCTGTGTGGGCCATGGCCCCATCTGGTCCCGGGAGTGGGTAACTATCCATCTGAAGGGTGGAGGTGGTATACAAGTACAAAAAAATGTCTTTCATTTAATCCCAGGGGAAATCTGAGCGGGGGCGGGCCCCCCCCCCCCCAGCATAGCTGTGTGCTAGGACTCAGGCACTTAGTGAGCAGGGCCTGGAGGGCTGGCAGGAGGGGAAAGGCCTGCCGTGCCCCCAGCAGCCTCTGCCCCCACCCACAGGCTGGAGAAGCTCCGCCACCAGCTCATGCCCATGTACAGCTTCGACCCTACAGAGGAGCAAGATGAGCTGGAGCAGGAGCTGCTGGAACACGGGCGCGACGCCGCCTCCATGCAGGCTGCCGCCTCTGTGCAGGCCGCGCAGGGCAAGGTGGGCACTAACGGGCTCCCCCAGCAGCCTGCTCAGGACTTTGCCACCCCCACCCTCCCTCCTTTCTCATGCAGCTTTCCAGCTCCCGCCATGTGGTTGGGTGGCAGCTCTCAGGTACATAGGTTTTGTCAGGTTTGTTTAGAAACTGGTAGAATTTCTCCATGGCCACCCACAAACTGACTGCACAAGGCCAGGGCAGCCCTGGGATCCAGCTGGTTTGCCCCTGCTAGCCTCATGGTCTTGGCAGCCCCCTTGGCCTCTCTGAGCCCCTGCTTTCTCATCTGCAAGTGAAAATTCTAATTCTTGCCCTTTGTGCCCCTATGGCTTGGCTAGGAAAGCAGGAGAGGGCTGATGGGAGAGACTGTTGGGGGCTAAGAGCCTGGTGCCTTTGCCCCGCTGACGGCCCATGTTTCCTGAGCCGGTTGTGGTGGGGGTCAGATTCTGGAAGAGTGGCACCTCTGAGTAGACTCATGGGTCCTAGTAACTGACAGACCCCAGGCGGACGGCGACCCTAGGCAAACTTGCCTCTTACATCCAAAGGGTTGGGTCCCTGTGTGGTCACCGGGCCAGAGCCAGTGGCCGGTTGCCACCAGCCCCCCAAATCCCCGAGGGCCAGAGCACCATGAGGAGGCCTGGTCTCTCCCTGACCCATGAAACCCCTTTGCATTTCTCCTTGCCTTGGCCCCACAGGTTGCTGGGGGCATCTGGCCCTGCCAGAGGCAGAATTAGGAGACCGGACTCAGGAAGAGTCCACACTGGGAGTCCAGTGAACCCCTGGTTTTGCCACCAGTTCTGTGGCAACTGACCAGGATACATCCCCACTTGGGGTATTTGGGAAATCAGGCTGAAAACCTTGGTCCACCCAGCCCATGGGATGACTGACAATTCGACAGTTGTTTCCTGGGCACCTCTCTTGGTCCAGCCCCAGTGCTAGGGCTGGGGGGGTGCAGAGGTGAGCCCCCTTCTGCTGGGAGAGAGGAGTGCCTGCATCGTTCATCCAGCCTCTAGGCGCACAGGGTAAGCGCGTGCTGGCAAGCTGGTGACGGCTGGGGGCGGGGAGGAGTCATCAGAGCCAGATGGTAGTTCCAGGCTGAGCTTGCAAGGGTGGCATTCCAAGCAGAAGGCATAGCTGGTGCCAAGCGCAAACAGGCAAACCAGGAAGCAAGGGTGGAAGTGACTGGGCCAGAGAGTACATGGCCTTGGTCGAGGTCCCTAATGCCCTTGACTGTATCTCTGCAGACCACACTCCCTTCTCAGGGCCCACTGCAGAGGCCCAGCCGGCTGGTGTTCGCAGATGTAGCCAATGCCATCCATGCGTGAGTGGCCCGAGGACCGGCCCGGACCTCTGATGAAGACATCTGCCATCGTGCCCCTTGAGCTTGATTGTTAAGACCCACTCTCGGGACCTGCCCTGCTGAGGCCCAGCTGTTTCAAGGATCCACCTGCTGACTCTCTAGGCTCTAAGAGAGGGCCCTGGCCAGGCTAGACATCTGGCTACTGAGGTCTCCTGATCTGAGGGCCCTGGCATAGAGGGCATCCTTCGTATCAGGAAAGTTGAGAGCCACTGCTGGCTTCCTTGTGTCCTGCCCAGACCCGTCACATCACGGTCTGCTCCTCTAATGTGGAGGAAGTGGGGGGAGACATGGGATGGGAGGGGGCAGGGGAGAAGAGTAGGGGGGGTTCCCCTTTGTCAGGGAGAGACATGTCTTTGGAATCTGCAGCCTCCTCTGGAGTAGGAAGGGGCAATCAACCGGGTCTTGGGGACAGGATGTGGTGGCACCCTGGGAGAAGCCCAGGGATGGACTAGAGCTGCCTGGTGGGCAAGGATGCCAGGAAGAGGGCTGCTCCTACCTGGGGCCCATCTGTATTTTGGAGGGTCCACGAGGCCTCCCAGCCACCCTCCCTGGCAGCCAGCTACTGGCTGGGAGGTGGGGGAATAGCGTAGAGGGCCCCAGGCAGGTGCATGAATGTGTTCACGTGCAGGCATATGTCCCTGTCCTGGCACAGGGTAGGATGGAGACCCTCTGCGTGGGCTCCACCCTCCAAGTCCACCCCACCCCTTGACGTGTACAGGGACACCAGGATAGGCCACTGTCTCTGCCTTCAGTGTTCAGGGACTAAAAGGAGAGGGAAGCCAAGGTGAAGGTCCTGCTGCCCACCACATCTCTTCACTGGGCTCTACAAGCCAGGGAACCGGCTTCTGAAAACGGTTCCCTGTCCTGGTGTATATGGGGGATCTAGGGTTGTAGGAGAGGCTGCTGGTCTGAGGGCAGTGGTCCCAGGCTGTGGGCTATCTGGGGACATTCCGACTGTGCCTGAAACGAGGGTGGGGATGGCCCCATGGGAAACAGACCAAATTTTTGATAGCACAGCCCACCCACCCATTGTCCACCCACCCGACACCCCTCAGGAATTCTTCTACCAGTCTGGGGCATCTGGGCAAGGCATGGGACCAAGCCAGACCCCAAGAGCTGGGCAGCCTTCTCCTCTGGACGTGCATGCACACACGAGCATGCAGAGAACATGCCCCCCGCCCCCGTGCCCAGCCTCCCCGCCGTCGCTGTCCTCTGCTGGTTGGAAGGGGACACGGGGGTGGCAGCACATACCTTCTGTCAGGCAAATACCACGTGTCAGGAGGGGAGGGCCTAGGAGACCCATGTGGGGAAGATTTGGGATGTATTCCCTCCTCTCGATGCTATAAATACACTAGCACTTGAACCAACTGGAGGGCTGTGGGTGATTTGGGACGCACAGATGCTGTAACGGAACTTGGCACCTCCATGTGAGAGCATTAAAGATGTAATTAAGATGTTTACGTGAAGAGAGTGTGAGCCTGTGACACTTGGGGTGTGAAACCCCAAGAGGGGCAGGATGGGTTAGGGGCTGTGGGGGGCCTGGGAACAGTCACTTGGATCCCAGCAATGAGCCGGCAGCCCGGCTGGTTTTCCTTGATCTATCTGATGAAATGCCTCGGGCCCTGAGTTCAGGCTGCTCTGGGGCCTCGTGTCTCAACTGTGGAATGGGGTCACAATGCCTGCCGTCACCCAGGGTGGAAAAGCCAAGTGGACAGGACCTTGTGGGGCCCGAGGAGGGAGAGGGCTTGAGCCCCAAGGTCCAGGGGGAGGTGGGGTGCCTCAGGATCCATAGGAACTGGGTGTGGAAGAAAAGGGAACAAAATAATGTGGTCTTTCCCGGAGCACAAGGGTGCAGGGGGTAGGTGGGGGTGGGAAGCGCTAAGGTTATTTGTGTGGAAACCACCTACAGGGTTCAGAAGGATTTGAGGTAAACAACTGTCCTGGTTCTCTCAGGGCTGCCCAATTTATAGCACAGGAAATCCCACAAACCAGGACTCTAAGTGAGATGCAGATCTTCCCCTAAAGGGCTGAGCCTTCAGGCCAGCATAGGAAACAAAGATGGGCTGAGCACCCCAGTTCCATGGTGGAGGGCTGGGCTGGAAGCCAGGGCTGTGGGGCAGGGCCTTCAGTAAAGGCCCACATTGGGGTCAGACTGCTGGTCTGTCAGTCTGCTTGGTCTTGCAGAGGGGCCTCCCTCCCCCAGCAGACTAACAGAAGGATTCCTAAGGACCATGGGGTGAGAGGAGAAGGGATGGGTGGGCTCTGTTCCCCCATCCTATTGGGTAACCCCTCAATCTCAGAATGTGGGAGCTACAGAAGACCCGATGTCTGAGGGACCCTAAAAAATGGGACCTGCAGAGTAAGGCTAGCACCTAGGGACTAGGGCCAGAGTGGAGGCTCCAGAAGGACCCCATCCCCATTCTCTCGGGCTGCCTGCCTCATGCCCCTTTCCCACGGGTGGGCACGGCTAGGTGGTGGACAGGGCAACTTTCTGTGGGTGACGGGGCCACTGCCTCATCCCTGTCCCCTCACAGACACCTCCTCTTCCCTCCTCCCCACCTCCTGCTTGCTAGCTCTCTTTCCCAGCCCTGGAGAAGAACTGAACTCCCCGCCAGTCCCCAGGTCTTCCACAGAGCATGGGATCAATAGATATCGGGGTGAAAGGATCCAGTTGACATGTCCTTGTGACCGGGGGCCTGGCAGGCTGACCAGAACGCCCCTTACCGCCCTCAGCCAGGCAGACAGAGTGAGACAGTCACCTGCCCATGCTTAACTGCTCCTGAAATCGGCTGCTAACAGAGGCCTTTGGGAAACGCCCCTTCGGGACACACACATCTATCAGCGAAACCCCTATTCGTGAATAGCAACCAGGGCTTCGGGGCAGAAGCTACAGCAGCTTGCAGTGGGTGCTGTCAGGAAGGACGTGGATGGGTGCCTTCGGAGGAAGCCATCTTGTTTAATGAAGTGAAGTGTCAACTTCCAGCCTAAGCGGATACAGTAATTCCGTTGCCTGGCGGCAGGCAGACGCCACGGACACCTGCAGAATGTAAAGGAAAGTTCTCGTGGAGGCGAGCCCAGAAACTCCAGTAGAGCAGGCTGACCTTGTGGTGGATTCCTTCCAGAAATATTGCTGAGTCCAGCACTCTGGTCCTGTCAGTGAACCAGCTCCATTGGTTGGTATCTGCGTCTCCATTTGAGATGGGAGGAGGCAGGTGTCAAATAGGAGAGAAGGATGAATGCGTGCGTGTACGATATGTGTATATGCACGCATTGCATGTCTGTGTCTTTATAGCTGCGTCTTTATGCAAAAGAAGACAGGGTCAAGGTCCAGGTGTGCCTGGGGGGCAGTCAAAGGCCGAGGGCAGGTGACCCCAGCCCATCCTGTCCAGCATCACCCCTCAGCGGTCCTCAGTGTGGAGGGTCTTGGCTGAGGGTATCCGAAGGAACCGCAGGAGCTGCTGGTCTGGCGTCCCCATCCTGCTGGCCTCTGCGGGCTCAGGACAGGGGACAGCTGCAGGCAGGGCTATCTCTGGGTGTGCAGGGCCATCTATGGCTCTTGAAAGGCCAGCGATGCTGAGAAATGAACAAGAAGTATGTAAGCAGAAGGTGCAGGGAGAAGGGGAAGGGGAGAGCATGGAGACCCTCAGGTAAGGCCGAGAGGGGTGAGGCTGGGATGCCATCCCACCTGCACCTGGGGCTGCCCTCAGCTCCTCTCTCGCCCCCACCTCAAAGCCCCTTGGCAGTGGTCCCCACCCCCACTCGTCACCCTGGTTGCTTGGATTCTGCACATGGAAGCTCAGGGCAGGTGTGTGTTCTCCCTGGGGGAGACCACCTCCATACACCCGCGGGAGCCAGAGGAAGGTCAGCAAGCGTGCAGGGGGAGGGGCAAGGAGTAGGGGTAGTCTCCTCCACCACAGTGGAGCCCTGGCATCGAGAGGCTCGCTCAGGCCAGGAGGGTGTCTGGGTGAGGAACAGAGGGGTAGATGGGGCTGAGACCTGTCTGGGAAGGGGATTCCTTTTCCTAGCCCCTGGCCGGAGAAATGCTCTCTGGGTCAGAGACCGCCCACCCTGGGCAGGATGTCCCCTCAGCTTTGGAGGGTCCCTTTCTTTCTCAGGGTTCTGTTTGAGAGGTAACTCTCTGGGTGCCTGGATGGATCCATGAAGGTGGTAGGCCTGGGATTCCTGTGTGGGCTGGGGGTCAGGGGAAGGAGGGAGGCCCAGAGTGGCTCTGGCTAGGGACCAACATGCATCATGTCTAATGCCCACCATGGCTGGGGAAAGTGGGCTGTCTCACTCCCATTTCATCAGTGAGGACCTTGCAACTGAGCCATGAGGGGAAAGCAGCCCAGGGCTCCATGTACAGCCGGTGCAGGGCACATCAGGGCCTGGGTCTGAACTTGGTACAGCCTGGGCACAGCATTGTCTGCACCCGCGGGGTGGGAGGGTGGGGAGGTGGGCAAGGTTCTCCAAGCCTCCACCTTCCTGGTCCTTTAGCCTGGCAGGAGGCAGGGCATGTCCCCACACCTCTTACAAATGGGCATCCCAGGGAAGGGGCCCCAGATTCAGCCCAGCTTTCTTAGGCGAGGGCTAGGACTGGGACCCTTCTGAGGCTTCGTGGCAGCCTGGATCCTGGTCCCATGTCCATGTACATGTGTGGTATTGCGGGGGAGGACCCATGACCTCGTCCACCAGTCCTCTGTTCTCCTGATACATGGTCGCCAGGGGCCAGCATCTCCCCCCTGGGGCCGCCCAGGCCTCACAGGGCACTGTCAAGGAAGCCCGGTCTCCCAGTCTCTCACACTAGTCCTGCTCCTGTCTTCCTGATTGATGTGCCCACTTGCTGGGGCTTCCCCAGTGTCTCCTGGGTGAGGCCCAGCCAATCCCCTCAACTTCTCCTATACCCAGCTGCACCCTGGGGTCTGGCCTGGGAGCATGTAGAGAGGGGACAATGGCAGACGTCCTAGCCGTTGGAGCTGACAGGCCTCCTGTCCTCTAGCTACTGGTTGAACAGGGGAG